TCCCTACCCTCCTTCCCACCCTCCATTCTTATTTCCCTTCCGGCGCTCCTGGGGGACTTTCGTGCTGGGAAATTTGGGAGGGAACGCAAGGAAACTGGCCACATTGGTCGCTGGGCGCGGGGCGGGGCGGGGTTGAGGGAGGAGGTATTGAGAGGGCGCCGAGGAGCCTAGCTGGGAAGCAGGGAGGGGATCACTTCTCTGGGATCTGGAAAAGGAAGTGAACGTGGAGGACGCCCAGAAAGGGGTTCCAAACCCTCCACTCCCCTCTGCTGCTTCTGCAAGCTCCGAGGACATAGTCATCGAGGAGTTTACGCGGCAGGAGCAAGGCGAGGAGCACGGCGAGAAGGCGTTGGAGGCGGAGGGAGATGAGGGGAGGTGAGCGCCTCGCTCTGATGCCCCTCTGTGTGGGAGTCCCAACTGCAATGCTCTAATAAATTGGCTTGTCCAGCTGTGCCTGGTGATCTCGTTGATATTTCCTGTTCCCGGAGAGTAATATAACGACTGAGAACGATCTTCCCTGCCCCCATGCCCTCGCCGTGATTAGATTATCCTTAGCACAGTCTTTTCCCCTAGCGGACCCCGATTTCTCTCTGACATGGCCACTAGTCCTCCGGGGGTCCTTTGGCTTTCTCTCCGGCCCAGGCCATCCCCACCCGCACCCCATCACCGCACCATCCCACTCCAGTGCTCACTTGATCGCGCCAAGCACAAGGCACTGGCACCTCGGGAGCTGCCGGGAGGGAGCCGAGGGGGCGTGGCCGCACCCAGGCGTGGGTGCGAAACCAACAGTCGCGAGCCGCCCTTGGGGAGAACGAAAGGTGACACCACCAGGTGGCGGAGCCCACCTGCCGTGATGTGTGCCTGATGTATGCCCTCCGTAACGTACCGGGAGGCCCAGAGCAATGTCCGAGGCTTTGGCCTGGAGGCTGAGAGACCTGAATACCAGTCTCTGTGCAAATCCAAGCTTGTATCCCTGGGAGAGCAGAGCCGAGCAGCGCTGAATTGGACTTTGGGGATCGAAAGGTGTGAATGGTATGGAATGGGGTGCGGTATTCTCTGGAGAATCGAGTTCCTCCTCCTTGGGAAAGTTTGAAGTGTGTATGTGTGTGTGGGGGGCGGTTCATGGAGATTTTCAGGGGAGAAAGGGTGCCCAGGGCGGATGGTTGGCCTACTTATCGCCCTCACAGCAGAGAAGATGTTGATCATCACCCACTCCACCTATGACAGCTTCCACTGTGCCTACTAGGTGACACACCACCAAGGAGTCACATGGGACATTTTTGCCCCTTTCCTTGGCTGTCTCCCCTGGGGATTCTCTTCCTCAAAATTATCTATTATATGAATAAGTGTCGGGAAGTGGAGCCAGGACAACCTCCTAAAGGGCCATTCTCTACTTCTCGTTCTAACTGCCTGGTATTGGAAATGGGGGGGGGGAGTTCAGAGAGGTTATACAACTTTCTTTTGCGCGCATCCATTGGAGTTAACTTCCCGTCTAAGACCATGTACCTAGGTCCTGAATAGTGAGTGTTAACTCATACCACTAACCCTACACCTCAACCCCTTAGGTCTATTTATCAAAGTAGGGTAGCACCACACCATGTCATCTGTGCAGAAAGAAGGGGAAGAAAAAACTGAAGCCTCCTCAAATTACCAAGCCCTACATTTCTTGTTCTCTCTGCCCTTATGTAATCTCCAACTGTAACGTAAAGTTCAAGAGGCCCCAAATCCTTAAATCTGCTGTTCTATAGGATCTTCCTTAATCAAAACAGTAGTATATTGAAATTGGCTGGACCTGTCCTAGGACTGTAGGCCACTTGGTTTGAGGCCATAGCAGCCACTCTTCAGGGATCCAGTCTCCCTGACTCTATATTCTGCCTTTATTTGGTTCTAGCTTTTAAGAGACTAGTTTTTCTACCTTTCCCCATCTTCTTCCTAAACATTCGTTTTATGCAAGTTTAGCTGTAGCTGTGGGACACAGCTGGCCAGGAGTGCTTTCACAGCCTAATTCCTAGCTACATTAGTGATTCAACTATTGCAGTGGTTGTCCATGACATCGCAAGTGGGTGTTGTGTGCTGTTTTATTTGAAAAAGCGATTATGAAGGAAGTGATAGGGAGGTTGGTAAGACTAGCAGAGAAGACGGACAGATACATTATTCTCTCCAAAATGGGCCTGAGGTAGAATAGCTTGAGGTCAGGAGTTTGAGGTTGCAGTGAGCTGTGCTGACGCCACTGCACTCTAGCTCAGGGAACAGTGAGTCTCTGTCTCAACAACAAAAAAACCCTCTGCTAAATGTTTCAACCCCTCTGCAACATATTTTCCTGCAGACATCAGTTCTTTTAAGGAGACAGTTAAGTCAGTAGATGTATGAGCAGAAAGAGATGACGATGTTGTCATCATGTTGGTGGGTAACAAGAGTGACCTGAACAAAAGGTAAGGTATAACTACAACTTCTTCCGGCATACTTAAAGTTAAATCTATGGAGAGGGCCTACGGTGCTCTTTTTTTGGGGGGAGGAATTACTAGTGTTAGGGATCAGAAAGGTCATGGGTTCAAGGCTTCTAGGATTCCTGGACCTAGGGAAGCATTGTTATACCTCAGAAGGATCTATCCCTGTCCACTAACTCTGGGTTACCACTATCTGCTCCCTTTCATCATTTCTGATTTGTCCAGACAAATCTTTGCAGAAGAGGGAGAAGAAAAATCCAGAGACCTCAACATGATGTTTATTGGGACCAGTGCCCAAATTGGTTACGGTGTGAAAAATGAAATACTCATTTCTCTTTATGATACTTCTATTGCACTGTCTGTAGCTACCCGCCACTGCTTACTCTTGGATAACCTTGGCTTGTCCTTTGTGGAGTGGGGGCAAGGTTCATCTCCCCATCAGATAGCCCAAAGGCCATGAATCATCTCAGCCTCTGAACCTGACCTTTTTTCTTCCTTTTGCTTGTCACCATTCACATACACACACGCACACACAGAGCTATTCCAGAGTGTGGCTCCTGCCCTTCCTTCCAGAAGTACTTCACCTTCACTGAAAACAGAGGGGAGTGTCCTTTCTTCCAGCTTTGCTGGAGTAGGGAGTGTACAGAGAAGGCAAGCTTCCTTTGCTGAACCCAGCCAGAGCAAAATATGGCCAGGCCAAATTTTTTGCCTAAGTGGTACTGAAGGGAAAATGGGACTAACTTTAGCCCAAAGTGGTTCCTTGGTTTGCCTTTAGGTCAGGGGGGATCATAAGATCAGAATTCCTCTTCTGTGTCTCCTAGAAGCTACTGCTGAGAGTTGTGATTTGACTTCAGCCACCTCATTCTATTACCTTCCTTAACACACACTTCAGTGGCTGAAATCCAACTGGAGCCCTTCAAGGAGTCGGGCTTCAAAAGCCACTGTTCTGTTGAGGGCTTAGGCTGTCTCTTTGCCTAATTTGATGGATTTATTGCATTTGGGCTTTCCATACCAGTCCTTCTCCCCTACCTCCAGGTTTATGGTTTAAATACTTGGCCACTTACTCTCTTCCAATTCCTGGGCTTAGGAGTAAAATGGAACTCCTGGAAGTGCTTTCATTTTATTCTTGACTGTATCTCACAGCTATTGGGTGGAAGGAAGCTTTCTGCAGCACCTTACCTTCTCTGACGCCTAAAAGACATCTATAGAGAATGCAGTTCTACAGCAGCTGGGGTACCTCAAAGGCCGATACGATTCATTCACTGTTTTCTTACCTACACCCTCGATAAACGACTGGTCCTTTAGCCTCAGCCTGTTATTGCTTGCACCTTCTCTACATTATACCTATACTTCCACGATGCAATTGCCTCCCGCTGGCGCCCTAACACAGAACCATTCCAAGTACCTCAAAGTGAGAACCGACTTAGGGCAGGAGGGCTTTTGCCTCTCAGGCCCACGGCACCTGACTGGGGCTTTTTTACGATGTTTACCACACTTCTTAGATGAGCTGTTTTAAAACCTGTTAACCACACGGAGAGTCTTGGACCTCAACATTCAGTAGACTCACTCAACCAATATGCCTTTACTGAAGTAACTAAGCCTCTTATTTTCTTTCTCAGATGGCCAGAGGGGGGCAGCAGAGCAAATAGGAGAGGATTTCCCAAGAAGCACAGACACAGCCAAATTAATTCTACCACCAGTTCTGCTCTCAAGGGATGTTGCCACCTAACAATGGCACTAAGCCTCTAGAAGAGGTACCTTAGTAGAGCTGGGGTGTGATATATAGGAAGAGCCAGGACTTTCTCATAGAGATACATTACCACTACCTAGAACAGTGTTTCCAATACTTGGACACTTATTTACTTTGCTTATTTACAAATCCAGTTTTCCAGGCTCTATCTCAGACTAATAGAATCATTCTCCAAGGATACATATTTAAGTTCCCCAGGAATCTCTCAAGGCCAATTTTCGGCTTTCATCATAGGGACACTTCACTCCATACCTCACTAGAAAACTTTTCATTCTGAATGGGTATTTTCAACATGCCAATGGAGATGGCATAGGTGTGATCTGGAATCTCTAACAGTGGATTGGTAACTAAAGATCTAAGAACGTGACAGAAAGTTATTTGGCACTGCAGTGAGGAAAAGGGAGAAATTGGCAGTTAATACTACTCAACCTACAAGTTGGACATTGGGAACAAATTTTTTGCTGTTGCCTCTGAAAAGACATGCATCTAAGCCCCTTCCTCGGTTTATGTTCCAGATCAAAGAATCTGGGAAAGGAGAAGAGAGAATTATGTTAATATTGTCCCCTGCAGAGGAATGTCTGAAGCTCCTAGGGGAAAGGGCACTGTTTCTTCCAGTACCCCTTACCCTATGCCATTTCTTGGTGATACTGTGACTAAGGTTCCTGGGTCTCCCTAATGTTCTGGCCAAAGATAGTTCTGAACTAGGCATAGTTCTTTCCAGTGGCCCCTGTCTTTGGAAGAGCTTTTCCTTGCCTCGATAGCATTTTATATCCAATCAGTATCATTCAAAAGTCACACCAACATTTCTTTAGCATTGTGTTTTACTTTTCTGGGGAGAGGATATGAGAAGGAAGGTGCAAAAATAGGGTCTTAGTGAAGTCTTCAAAGTGTATGAAACCTCTGGTAGTACAAAGATGGGATGAGATGGCCAGGCGAACCGGATAGAAGATCCCTAAGATTCTTTTTTTCTACTAATTTCTACAACTAAAATGATATGATGTGTAACGGACTAGCACATGGTATTCAATATATGTCAGTTGCCTTTTCTAACTGGGTTCCCCAGGTTATACTTAGACATCATCATCCTTCTCCTTTCAGGGAATGAAGCTCACCTAGAAAACTAGGGAACTAAAAGTACAGTACAGTTTGGGTAATGCACTTGGCTAGCTGTATCCTTATCCTCCCCATTCTGCTATGCCAGGGAGGGGCTGAGCGTAAAGCAGCTTCCCTGAAGCCTAGCCAGCTTGTCCTGGCAAAGTCCACATGAAGGGTTGTGGGCTGCAACTCTCTAGTGCACAGTCCTCTCTTTTTGGCGATGATAATCTGAGGCAAAGAGGGAAGAAAAAAGTAGGTTATTTTCAGGCTTTGGCTCCCAATTCCCCACTCCCAACTTGTGGGGCCTCTAGTCATCAGTATTTAAAGAGTTCTTACCTAGGGTCTGCCAAGGAAATAAAAAAGAGAGTGGCACTTACTGTAGGGAAAGAAGCGGACACGCATACTGATTTCACGGGCTGTCTTCAGGATCTCAACAGCCTGGAAGGAATAAAGCAACTTGTACAAATGAAGAGAGATGATCCAGGACAGAATCACAAGGGGGAAAGGGATTTGCCACTCCAACCTCCGGGTCACTAATAGCTGCTTCCCTGTGGTACATTTCCCCAGGAGTGATGCATTTTTTCTTTCTTTTTCAAAGGAATAGGCTATACCATCTTTCTTTTTTTAATTTAAGAGATGGGGTCTCAGTCTGTTGCCTAGGCTGGAGTGCAGTGGGGTGATCATAGCTCACTGCAGACTCGAATTCCTGGGCTCAAGCGATCCTCCTGCCTCAGCCTCCCAAAGTTCTGGGATTACAAGTGTGAACCACTGTGCCAGACTCTTTTTTTTGTTTATTTGATATGGGGTCTTGCTATGTTACTCAGGCTAGTCTCAAACTCCTCCTGCTTCAGCCTCCCAAGTAGTTGGGATTACGGGTGTGTGCCACTGTGCCCAGCAAGATGCTTTCTTATCAAGTTACAGATGGCTAATCCTGTCCAACCTGTCTTATTTGGGATGGCTTCTAGTACCACCTAGGCCCAAGTGCTGCGCTCACCTTGCTGTGCTCAATATCTTGGAAATCCACATCATTCACAGCTAGAACTTGGTCCCCTTCCTGAAGTCCTGCTCGATGTGCATCAGAGTCTGGAATCACCTGTTGGTAAAGAGAAAACCCATGTGATTGGGATGGGGTAATTTCAGAAGACTGTAAGTGAAATTCAGTGCTATTTAAATGTAAGATGGTATTGTTTTTCTGTGACAATGAAGGGAGACAGATGGCCCACCAAATGGAAAGTTTTAAGTGGGAAAGGGGGTGTCCCCATTACGCCCCTTCAATGAGTCCACTGAGTCATCCTTCTCTCAGCCCTTGGGACATCAGCGTTCTGCAATCTGATAATTTAACAAGGGGATGTAGCTATCCATATTGCCTACCAGGCACACACACCTTGGAGATGAAGATGCCTAGCTGAGAGGCCTTTCCTCCTCGGATGTTAAATCCTAGCTGTAACACAAGAGCACAGAATGGGGGCTCAATAGAGATCACAAACACAAGAACACATAGCAGCATCACTGTACAATAACTCAGCTTGTGTTTTCCTCAGAGTGAAGTCAGAAGTTGTGGAAGTTATATCTTAGCTTTTCTGTCCACAAGAAGAAAAGTTTCCTCCCATCCCCACTTGTTTCCCAATCTATCCCCCTGACCATTGCCAACTTCCAATACGGACAAATCTGACCTAGAATAAGAGGCTCCATAAGTTCACCTGAGCTCCAGGAGGCTTCTTCAGTGTGACAATTCGGGGCAGAAACTGGGTCAACTCATTGTTGTAGTCTGGGTGGTATACCCTCTGTAAGACACAGAAACCCTAGAAATTTTAATACCAGTCTTAGACTTCACACCTACCTTCACCAGAAGACTAATGCATCACCCTGAAGTCAGGAAAAGACTTAGCTTAAGTAGAATAGATAACACTGTCCAAATGAGTAGATGGATAGCACTGGGACATGTTAGCAGTCCAGTATCTCCCCACTTCTTCACCCCTTGACAGAATGGAAACTAGAGCTCTGAATTTCCAGAATTCACTAGTGTGAATGGACCCTGGCAGGAAGCTCCATAAGAACTTCCCAATAGGCCCTGCTGCTCAGAATCCAGTTTCTGGGTCCTCTGGCTACAACAAGGGCTAATATTCACTCTCCATTTAGCTTTCTAACCTTGTCATCCTACTTTTCACACATCATGTCATGTCCAGTAGGAAAAATCCTCTACTCAGGAATATAGATGGTTCCCACCTCATGAGGAGGAATCCATGCTGGGGGATTCTCATAGGCAGGCAGGAAAACCACTGGGTAGTCATCATAAGGAATCCGGCTGTCCATCTCAGGCAAGACCCTGGAATGGAAGGGTGGATCAAAGTGGACAAAAGTGGTTCAAAAGGCACAGCAACCCAGCAAGTTACAGAAAGCAGCTCCAACCCATTCTAAGGCTGTCATTCTAGGGGCCTATCTAGGTGTTAAGATTGGAGAAGAAAAAGGAATCAAAAAGACAGAAGAGGCCCAGCACGGTGGCTCACATCTCTAATCCTAGCACTCAGGGAGGCTGAGGCGGGAGGATCGCTTGAGCTCAGGAGTTCGAGACCAGCCTGAGCAAGAGAGAGACCCCGTCTCTACTAAAAATAGAAAAATTAGCCAGGCATCATGGCAAGCGCCTGTGGTCCCAGATACTGTGGAGGCTGAGGCAGGAGGATCACTTAAGCCCAGGAGTTTCAGGTTGCTGTGAGCTATAATGATGCCAGTGCACTTTACCTGGGGTGACAGAGAAAGACTGTGTCTTAAAAAAAAAAAAAAGAAGAAGAAGAAGAAGAAGAAAACTACTATTAGCTTTGCTAAACATCTTCTGGATGCCAAGCAACCTGCTAGGTACTTTAGAAACATGAACTCATTTCTGGAAAATAGATGTTACTGTCTCCTTCCTGGAGAAGAGGAAATCAGGTCGCGTCTAAAAAGATCTACTTTCAAAGCCCAAGGGAGTGCCGACTCCATCTATCCACAGGGACTCTGGGCAAGGCACCGCCCCACACTCCCCAGATGTGACTAGTAATAGTGGGTCCCCACATCGACCCTTTCTTCATCACCAGCCACCCTCCAGATCCGAGTCCCGCGCTCACGACCGCGTAAACCACCTTGCCAGGGGCCAGGCCTCGCCACCCCAGGCTCCGCTCACCACCAACTCAGCCTGGGAGCCGGAAGCGGATACTCGGCTGGGTCGGAAAGAGGTGGGGCCGGAATGCGACGCGCACGCCCCGCCTTCCCAACTCGTCGCTTGCGCGCGCCGACGTGCGTGCTCCGCCCACAGGCTGTGTGCGCTCCGATTGGTTAGCGTCACTGGGACTGATTTGAAACTTGGCGGTTAAAACTCCGGTTAGGACAGGGCGGCGGACACCGGGGAAGACGGGGAAGGGACGTTTGGTTTGGTGAGTTAAGGGGGCACACCTTACCTCAGAACCTGTTTTTCCGGTACCCTGGGGCCTTGGTTCTTTGTCGCTGTCCCCATTGGAGTTTTATCTTTTCATTTCAGACGCCACTTCGCTGTCTTCAGTGTGTCAGGCTGACAGGCAGTCCCGTCGTGGTCAAGTAGGAGGCAGAGCGATCCCGCTGGGAGGGGAGGCTGCAGCCGCCAAGGCTGAGTTCCATAACCCACCCCACCCTGTGAGGAGGGCCGGAACTGAGGAGGAACCCTCCCACCCCTGCCGACCTACCTAGATTCACCAGCAAGCCTTTTTTTCTCCCTTGCAGAGACGGTGCTGAGGTAGGATCATGAAGGAAGAGGTGAAGGGAATTCCTGTAAGAGTGGCTCTGCGTTGTCGCCCTCTGGTCCCCAAAGAGATTAGCGAGGGCTGCCAGATGTGCCTTTCCTTCGTGCCCGGGGAGCCTCAGGTGCGTAGCAGTGTCCGGGGCCTGTCTGAACAGCGGGGGGACAAATGGCAGTGAGGGGTGTGGCCTATTCTTTCTCGGTTTTTTTTTTTCTTATGGCTTCTCCCTTGCCTTCTCTAGGTGGTGGTTGGTACTGATAAGTCCTTTACCTACGATTTTGTGTTTGACCCCTCTACTGAACAGGAAGAAGTCTTCAATACAGCAGTAGCGCCACTCATAAAAGGCGTATTTAAAGGTGAGGCTCTTTAATTCATTGGATGTTTCTTGAGCATATACTATGTGCCAGGCACTATGCTTGGGTGCTGCAAATTCAGGAATGGATGAAACATGATCCCTGCCTTCAAAAAGCCCCTAGCCTAATAACATTTGTGAAAGTCTCTGTACCCTTGAAGCTAGTTTTATACTGTATTTGCTTCTGTAGTTCTGTTCATTTTGACTTGTATATATTTTTGTTTGTCCTGGAACCTCATTTGATTATAAGCTCTTTAGTGGGTACTGATGGTGATTAGTGTACTAACCCACTTGAGCCCCAGACACTGCAGAGCTTGTTGAGGGATTCAGAGGTAAATAATATAGCTTTCAGGCCCTGAAGGAGTTCAAAGTCCAGGGCGGGTAGGAGTGGAGGTAGATGACTACATACGTGATTTTGAATACATAACAATTTTTAAATTTTTTACACCTATCTTTAAGAAAAAATATTTTAAAAGTTAAAAATATACAACAGAGTCAGTCCTGCTGTAGAAGTAGCACTGCTCTTATACAAAGTGGTATGAAAAACAAAAGGCTGGCTCTAACTCTGCTTGGGGAATTTGGGATGACTCTCACAGAATAGGGAACCTTTGAGATAGGTTTTGAATGAGTAAAATTCTTTTAGGTGGAGAAGGGGATTTCCTAAAGCCCCTGAATACTATGGCCAGTTAATAATCTCTATTGCAGAAGCTAAGTCTTTAATGTTGTTAAGACCATAGCAGGATTCTCAAGAAGGGACCAGTGCCTGAGAGATGTCTAATTGTTATTCTAGTATAGTGGTTATTCAAGATTCAAAGCAGAGGTTCATTTAAAAGAAGTACAATCACGCATACTAGTGCCTTAAAGTTGAGAGGGACATTTGTGTATCATCTAGTTTAAACTTTCCAGCTAATGAAAAATGCTTTCCAGCAATATCTCTGTTAGGTGAACTTCAGTGTCTGTTTAAAATTTTTTCTTTGAGCCTGGGTGCAGTGGCTCATGCCTGTAATCCTAGTACTTTGGGAGGCGAGGTGGAAGGATTGCTTGGGGTCAGAAGTTCAAGACCAGCCTGAGCAACATAGCGAGACCCCGTCTCTACAAAAAATAGAAAAATTAGCTGGGCATGGTGGTGGGCCTATAGTTCCAGCTACTCAGGAGGCTGAGGCAGGGGGATCGCTTGAGCCCAGAAGTTTGAGGTTGTAGTGAGCTATGATCACGCCACTGCCCTGATGCTCAGGCAACAAAGTGAGACCCTGTCTCAAAAAAATGTTTTTTTCTTTGACAGGGAACTCATTCACTCACAGGTAGTCCAGTTGATATTTGGTTTTTGGACAGCTCTAATTATATTATAAAGATCTTTTTTTTTTTCTTTGAGACAGTCTTGCTCTGTTGCCTGGGCTACAAGTGCTGTGGCATCAGCCTGGCTCACGGCAACCTCAAACTCCTAGGCTCAAGTGATCCTCCTGCCTCAGCCTCCTGAGTAGCTGAGACTACAGGTGCAGGCAACCATGCCCGGCTAATTTTTTCTATTTTTAGTAGAGATGGGGTCTCACTCTTGCTCAGGCTGGTCTTGAACTCCTGAGCTCAAGCGATCCTCCCGCCTTGGCCTCCCAGAGTGCTAGGATTATAGGCATGAGCCACTGCGCCTGGCCATAAAGATCTTTATATTGAAATGAAATTTGTTTCCCAGTAATTTCTTCCCAGTGATGTTAGTTCATCCCTCTGCAGAAGCCTTTTTCCAGGCAACAGCCACTCACATATTTTTTTTTAAATGTGTGGCTCAAGGCACATTGAACACTTTGCTTCAAAATTTTAAAATACTAGCACAATAATCTCAAACTTATAAAAATGTTGTAAGAACAGCATAAAGAACTTTTTTTTCTGAACCATCTGAGATGAGTTGTTGACCTGATGCCTCCCAAATACTTTAATGCTGCAGTCCCCAACCCCCAGGCCGCAGACGCATACTGGTCTGTGGCCTGTTAGGAACTGGGCCGCACAGCAGGAGGTGAGCTTCAGGCAAGGGAGCAAAGCTTCATCTGTATTTATGGCCATTCTCCATCACACACATCACCACATAAGCTGTGCCTCTTGTCAGATCAGCTGTGGCATTAGATTCTCATAGGAGTGTGAACTCTACTGTAAACTGCGTATATGAGGGATCTAGGTTGCGCACTCCTTATGAGAATCTGATGCCTGATGATCTGAGGTGGAGCTCAGGCAGTGATGCTAGTGCTGGGGAGCAGCTGCAAATACAGGTTATCATTAGCAGAGAGCTTCGCACAATAAATGTAATGCACCTGAATCATCCCTCCCATGCATGGAAAAATTGTCTTCCATGAAACTGGTCCCTGGTACCCAAAAGGTTGGGGACTGCTGCTTTAGTGTATATTCCCTACAGAGAAGGACTCTTAAGTTACCCCAGTACAACTATCAAAATCATGAAATTTACATTGCTACATTACTACCATCTAATCGTCAAACCCCATTCAAGTTTCACTAGTTGTCCCAGGAAGTCCTTTATGGCAAAAGGATATAGTTCAAAAATCACGTGTTGTATTTAGTTCTGCTGCCTCTTTAGTCTTCGTTCTAAAACAGTTCTTCAGTCTTTTTTTGACTTTTATGATCTTGACACTTTTGAAAATCACAGGCCAGTTATTTTGTAAACCTTTTTTCAATATTGGTTTATCTGATGCTTACTTATGATTAGATCAAGTTGTGTATCTTTTAGCAGAAATATCACGAAAGTGGTGCTGTATTCTTCTCATTGAATCCCAGCAGGTAGCATTTGATTTTGATTTGTTCTATTACTGCTGTTATCCATTTGGATCATTTGCTTAAGGTGTTAATCTGCTGAGCTTCTCCACTATAAAGTTAATCTTTTTTCCTTTTTACATACAGCATTTGGAAGACTGTTAGATGGTTCTGTCTATTTCTCTTCTAATTAACCATCTCCCCTTTCCTTTAGCCATTCCTGAAACAATATGGTTTTAAGACCCTTCACTATCTGGTCATCTTCCTCAGAATGTACCTCTACAGCATAGTAAGAACACTATAGTTCTACTTTTATATTCTTAACTTGGTAAACTATTAGAATTAATTATAGTATTCAAAGGCAGTATAAAGTAGGAAGTGATTCCAATATATATGTGTTTGGTTAACATTGCCCTCAGCTGCAAAACAAAGCCAGCACCCTCTTGTACTCTGAACTCCTGGTACTATAGAGCCCTGAGTATTTTGTAAAAAGTACTGAAACCTGGTTTCCCAAGTTATTGCTATCTACACATATCTGTGGTATTGCAGAAAATTATGGAATGTTATTCTCTTGCCCCACAATCATGCCAGGTGATACCAACAATCTATTATAATGAAAACCTCAATTTAGCATTTTCTTATGATCTTTCATGTAAACCAACAAGTTCTTTCAAAACTTCAAAGCTTTCATTTAGATTGACACATTGTTTCAAAACTTAAAGACTCCTAAATTATCTTGGTAAATCGTAGTTAACAGCTTTGACATATATACACTGATCATTTAACAGAGAAAGCTTGCCTTGTGTTCCTTTATAACATGTCTACCACCCTTGTATGGGTCAGGCTTCCTAAGTTCCTATTTTTTTCACCTTGATGTAAATTTGGATTTGTAGTTCCTTCTAGATGCCATGCTTACAGTTTTAGTAGCTTCTTCCCTATAGTTAATTAGCGAGTTACAGTCATGCATCGATTAACGATGGAGATACATTCTGACAAATGCATCATTAGGCGATTTCATCATTGTGCAAACATCATAGAGCATACTTACACAAACCTATATGATATAGCCCTCTACACACCTAGGCTATATGGTATAGCCTATTGCTCCCAGACTACAAACTTTTATAGCATATTACTTTAATGAATGCTATAGGCAATTGTAACACAATGGTAGTAAGTATTGGTAAATGTAAACATAGAAAAGGGATTCCAGACGTGGTGGCTCCGCTAGGTGGTATGTTCTCTGGGCAGCCACCGGGGCCTCCACCACCCCCGCCGGAACTCCCGGGCCAGGCTTTGCTTCTTCAGGCGGCACCTGGCTCTCAGAGACCTTCTAACAGTACTTTGGTGGATGAGTTGGAGTCATCTTTCGAGGCTCGCTTTGCTTCTCTGGTGAGTCAGGACTATGTCAATGGCATTGATCAAGAATAAATTCGAACTGGTATTGATCAGTGTATCCAGAAATTTCTAGATATTGCACGACAGACAGAATGGCTTTTTTCTACAGAAAAGATTGCAATTATCTGTCCAGAACAAGTTATCAAAGAAGATGTCTTAGAGCTAAGGAACGAATTACAGCGGAAGGATGTGCTGGTCCAGACGCACTTGACAAAGCTGAGGCATTGGCAGCAGGTGCTGGAGAACATCAGTGCGCAGCACAAAAAGCCAGCGAACATCCCTCAGGTCTCCTTGGCATGCCTGGAACAGGCGTCAGCCACTATCCCTGCGCCTCTGAAGCCGACTTGAGGGAGAGGGCAGCGGCAGCCTTAGAGTGTGCCAGTGTGTAAGGGAGCCTCGGACAGACAGTTCGCCATGCACTTCTTGTGGATGTGGCATTTTGGAAGAACTCTTTATTCCCACCTAAAATTTTTCCACTATTTTTATAAGCTGTTTAATGTCTTAAATACTTTCTAAAATGCCTGTAGCTTGGGTGAACCAAGTACATTTTTTTCTTTAGTGAAGTTTAGACTGTTAGTGTGATGATACTTACAGATTCTTTTTTTGTGTTTTTTTTTGCTTTTTAAATTTTATATGACTTTTCATCTCTATGTATGTGTTTCTAGTTAGGTTAGTTTGTTTGATCTGAGGGAAAACACAATAATAGTATGAGAACAGGGGATGAGGATTTTGCTTGTAGGCCTTCTACGATAATTACCCCACCATGGTAGTGTAGAAAACTAGGTAAATCTGCTATGTTTTACCTTTGAACTACCTCAAGAAGAAGAATCTAATTCAACAATGTTTATAATGCTT